TCTCATTGCTTGGTCTCATTTCTGCCTCTTAGCAGATCCATTTTCCAGCATGCATGCTAGAAGATGGCAGCGCTGAACTCTGTTCGGTAGACAAGGATCTCCTAAGCTCAGCTTTAAATTCCAGTGGGAGATAATTTGATGGCACCCGCTGTGTTAGACATCTGCCTCTGATACAGTCAGCTGGAACTCTGGGGGCGGGGCATTATGGTACAAACATGGCTGCTAGGGCCTTCCCCTTGGGGTGTGGAAGGGGCAGTGCTCAGACAGCTTACCACCCCAAACTCCACAATATGGATGATTATCTATCTCTATATTTTCTAAGACTAAATTTTCCCAGTTTTTTTTTTTAAGATGTTTTCCATTTTTATTCAAATTTATTGATCCTCTTCTTTGGTTTCTTTGAACACTTCTAGCCTTAGAGATTTAGTAAATAGTTGAGTCTGTTTTCTGCTAGCTTATCTGTAATCACATTCATTCATTAAGCAAAAATGCTGAGCCTCTACTCTGTGCCAAGAACTATTTGTAGATGTTGGAGATCCAACAGTGAACAACACCTGATAGTTTCCACACTTTGGGAGCTTATATCCTAGTGGGAGGAGACAGATAAGGTGTAAATACACATATAATGTCAGGCAGTGAGGTGCAGAAAAATAAACAGGATGAAGGGGATAGAGAGTGATGGCATGGGGTAGGGGGCTGTTGTTTTGGAAAAGGTGTAAGGGAAGACCTCCCTGAGCACAGAGCTGCAGTGAGTCAGAAGCGAGCCCTGAGGAAATCTGGTAGAAGAGTATTGAAAACCAAAGGAAGCAACTGTAAAAGTTCTGGGATTGGAGAGGAGAGTGCTTTGCATATTTGAAGAAGAAAGCTTTCCGGGTGCCTAGAGCAGGGCAAGTTGGGGAGAGGGGAAAGGTCAGGAAAGTAGCCAGAGGCCCAGCCCCATTTGTTGGTGTGCTTGCTGGGTTTTGAATAGGAAACGCCATGTGAGAGTGTTAGGATGTGAGGCTCTCAAATTGCTGACCACTTACCTTTCTTTACATCCTTCATCAAGCAATCTTCCTTTTCCATTTTTTATACCTTTCTCCTACATTTTAAGAATTTGTTTGCTATTTTCTTTCATTGCTTCATCTGCCTCTTTTTTTGCAAGTATCTCTTTTTCCAGTAGTTTTTTTTTTAATGTTTATTTCTGTGAGAGTGCGAGCAGGAGGGAGCAGAGAGAGAGGGAGACAGAAAATCCCAAGCAGGCTCAGAGCTGCCAGTGCAGAGCCTGACATGAGGCTCAGACCCACGAACCATGAGATCATTACCTGAGCCAAAATCAAGAGTTGGATGATTAACCAACCTAGCCGCCCCACAAGTAACTCATTTTTAATGATTGTTTTTGTAATGTTTTAATATCTGGTAAGGTTTCCCTTTTCTTTTGAGGATTTTCTTTGACATTCGTATCTGTTTATTCTCCCAGATGGCATTCAAAATAATTTTTTTAGGTTCCTAGTAAAAATACCATTGGTATGTTATCGAAATTACATTCTGTGTAAATTCCTTTGAGGAATGTTGACACTTAGTGTTTTCATTAAGGGACAAATGTATATCATGTACAAATGTAAATATTGGATCATTTCTGTTTTTTATTTTGTTGTGCTTGATAAGAGATTTTGAAGTGTCTGGTTATGCTTCTCCAGGTAGGGAGGCTATTTCATTTTATTTGATTCTTACTGTCTGCCAGGCACTTTAGGCACTGAATCTAGAAATGAAGGCTTGGTGCTGGGATTTCAGTTAGTTGGCAGGAGTTCAGAATTTATTTTTGGTGTTAGGGCAGAATTCCATGAAAGAAATCACATTGTTCTCCTCCTCTTCACCTAAAGGAATAATTTCTCAAAAGTGCCCTGTAGATAGAATAAAAATAACAGTTGGCAGACCTTTTTTAAGACCTCTTCCTATATGCTAGCTAGAAAACCTAAACTGGTTATTAATTTCTCAGTTAACACTTTAAAAAGTTTTTTCCCCACTAAGGCAATAATATATAATCAGTCCAAGTTTTACGCATTAGTCCTATAAATCTACCTCTAGAAGCTGAAACCTGTGAATTTTTCTCCACATTTTCCGCTACTAACTCTGCAGTCCAAACCACCATTATCTTTCACCTGGACTATTGATATTGCTTTGTACATATTATCCCTACTTTTCTCTTGCCCATGTTCACAAGGCATTTTCCACACTGTAGCCATGGTGATCTTTAAAAACAATGTTTTTATTATGGAAATTATCAAGCCTTAAAAAATAGAATAATAGAATTAATTGATGTCTCCCTCCCTCCCCCTCTGTGTCTCTGTCTCCAGGAGTTCTCAATAATGGCCACTGTCCAGTTATGTTATTTTTGTGTATGAATATTTCAGTGTATGGGCTCCTAGCTGGCTCAATCAGTAGAGTATGTGACACTTGGTCTCAGGGTTGTAAGTCTGAGCTCCACGTTGGGTATAAAGATTACTTAAAAATAAAATCTTAAATTTTTCAGTATATTTATAAAAGATAAGGGCTTCTTTAAAAAAAAAAAAAAACCTGTAACCACATGATGGTTGCACAGCTCTGAATATACTGAAAACCACTGAATTGTGCACTTGAAATGGGTGAATTATATGGTATGTAAATTATATCTCAACATAGTTGTTAAAAAAAACATCAAGGAGCCAAAGTTTGCATTTCCCCAGTTACACTTTTAAATATTTAACACTTTGATAGAGTTTTAAACATAAGTTGGATAGTGTACTATTTTTCTTAAAACCCTTCAGTGACTTTTCATCATATTTATAATAACCCATACCCCTTGTACTGACTCAGAAAGGTCTGACCTACAAAGCCCTGGCGTAATACGCTTCTTTGCCTCTCTGACTTTCTACCTCTCTTGCCCACTAAATTGTTTCTACCTCAGGGCCTTTGCATTAGCTGTTCCATCTACTGGAATGCCTTTCCCTATATTTTCCCAAGCCTTGATCATTCCTTTCAATTTAAATACCTTTTCCTCACAAAGGCCTACCCTGATCAGTTGCCCAGTCTCCAGTCTAAAGTGGTATCCTAGTCATTCTCCATCACACCATTCACTTATAAAGTATCAGCATAGCATAGTTTGTTATCTGGCATGTAATTGTTGTTAATTTACTATTTCCCTTTTTCTGTGCCTTCCCTGCCCCCCTCCCATGTTTTCTGTCATGTTCACTGCTGAATCCCCAGTGCCTAAAATATTAATTGGTGCATAATAGACCCTTATTAGGAGAAATTCATACAAAAAACTGCCCAACACATGCCAGGTGTTTGGTACTTATAAAAAGGTTATTTGATAGAATATATTATCTCACTGCATAAACAGAGTTCTGGTCAGGTATGTTACTTTGAAAGGGCCATTTTCTACTCGCAAGTTATAAGGTGACTGGTTTTTGGGTTGTTGTTTTTTTTTTTTAAGCGACCTTATTTCATACAGCATCCTGCTCACTTCAAAGCTCAATAAGTTGGGGCGCCTGGGTGGCAGCAGTTAGTTCAAGCGTCTTCAGCCAGGTCCGATCTCGCTGTCCATGAGATTTGAGGCAGCGTCAGGCTCTGGGCTGATGGCTCAGAGCCAGGCCTTTTCCGTCCTGTGTCTCCCTCTCTCTGCCCCTCCCCCGTTCATGCTCTGTCTCTCTCTGTCCCCAAAATAAATAAATGTTGAAAAAAAAAAATTAAAAAAAAAAAAAGGTCAATAAGTAACTTTTAACAAATTCTGTTTTTGTTGTTTGGCAAAACATAGGGTGCTTGCATGAATAAGGTTGCAAAAGTTACTATAATGCCTTGCTGGTTTCATTCTCCATTATCACTTTTTCTTTTGTCCTCAACTGGCCATCACACTCTTTGCTTATGATCTCTCTCTGCTACCTGTTCTCTGGTGAAGCAACAGAGCTGTGGTAAGGCTGAATAGCACCCCTATCTGCATTAGTTAAGTATCTTGAATGAATATCCTGAATTATCATCAGGGGCCTGTGTCAAGTTGTTGTCCTTACAGGCAGGGGGAAGGAAAATCTGAACATTGAGAAAGAAAACGTAAAGATGGAATCAGAGGTTGGAGTGATGCCCCAAAATGGGAGGACACAGTTGAGGGCTGTGTTGGGCTCTGTGCTGACAGCTCAGCCTTTGGATTCTGTGTAGTCCTCTCTTTTTGCCCCTTCCCTGCTCATGTTCTGTCTCTCTCAAAAATAAATAAATAAATAAATAATTCTTTTAATTAAGATGGGAGGACCACAAATCAAGGGATAGCATGGGTAGCAGAAACCTCAGAAAAGGGGTGCCTGAACAAGTTGGTTAAGTGACTTCAGCTCAGGTCATGATCTCACGGTTTGAGTTGGAGCCCCGCATCAGTCTCTGTGCTGACAGCTCAGAGCCTAGAGCCTGCTTCAGATTCTATGTCTCCCTCTCTCTTGTCCCTCCCCGCCCCCACACACCTCCCTCCCTCTCTCCCTCCCTCGCGCGCTCTCTCTCTCTCTCTCTCTCTCTCTCAAAAATAAACAAACACAAAATTTAGAAACCAGAAAAGGGGCAAGGCAATGGATTCTCCCCTAGAGCCTCCAGAAGGAATGCAGTCCTGTCTACACCTTGATTTTGGCCTAGTGAGACTGATTTTGGATTTCTTATCTCCCAAACTATAAAAGAATTAATCTGTATTATTTGAAGCAGTTAAGTTTGTGGTACTTTGTTTTAGTAGCCATGAGAAACCAATTCAGTGATTTAAAGTATAAGAAGGCTTGAAGGATCACAGAACATGTACAGAGTGTTCTGAGCTTAATCTTGCTGGCTTAGTAGTTAGCTACCAAAATGGAAGCCAGAAAGAGTTGAGATGGCAACTTCAGGTGGGTAATGTGGGGGGAGAAGAGACAGGTGTGGTTGTTGGAATAGTGAAAGAATATTCATGCTGTAATGGCAAGTATCCATGTTATATACAATTAAGCTCTTGATGGTTTGTTTCCTTGTATTTTACACAGATCAGAAACCCCTTGACCTTGCCCAGGGTGCTGAAATGAAACACATTCTTATTGGTAATAAGGTACGTAGTAATAGACTACATGCATATGATCATTTTTAGAAAAAGATTTTGAATTCCTGAAATACATAGATGGCATTTTTAATGAAAACATATTTTCAATAGGTCATCTACAAAGCACTGAAACGATATGAAGGCCCTCTTTGGAAGGTAGGCTGAGATGATCTTATTTCTAGAACTGGAAAGAATTCTCAGGTGCCCCATTTTTATTTAATAAAAAAAATTTTTTTAATGTTTGAGAGAGAGAGTGGGGAGCCCATGCTTGCGTGGGGGTGGGGGCTGGAGAGAGATGTGGGGAGAGAGAATCCCAAGCAGGCTTCATGCTGTTAGCCCACAGCCCGACGAGGGGCTTCATTTCACAAATCGTAAGATCATGACCTGAGCTAAAATCAAGAGTAGGACCCTTAACCAACTGAGCCACCCAGGTGCCCCAAAAATTATTTAATTATTTCAGAAGAAAAAATGATTTAAGCATTCTTGGATCTTGCAATGTAAACCATTTTGTGTGTGTGTGTGTGTGTGGGTGTGTGTGTGTGGTATTGGCTTTCGTTAGGGTTCCACTTGTTATAGCAATTGCTGCTCTTTTTATTGATGGTCTAAGAACACTTTTAAGTGACCAAGTTTATGCAGAACAGTGTTTAATCATAGAATTGCAGTGTTTTTGTTATGAATGTTGAAACAGGGAGGACTTAATAGGAATTTAATGTTTGAGTTGTCACAGAACACACATACAAAATCTTTCTGGTTCTAAAAATTTCTTTGCATTTTGGAGTTCATTTATTTTCTAGAATTAACTGTCGTAGAGCATGTGTTTTCTTTTGCATTTGCAAGCACTCCCTTTACGTATTTATGCACAAGTATGTTTATGTTGTATAAAATTAGAATTAATTCTTAGACTTTGTCTTTGAAGTCCACAATTGAAAATTGTCCTATAATTATCCTTGGACAATACTGTCAGAACTATAAACTGTGTTCATTATTGATCTTATCAGTATGCCATTTCTTCTCTTCTTGTCCCCCTGTAGTGGTATGTTTTCGTTACTGCACCTAGTTACCTTAGTTCATGTTTGATCATTTTTTTTTATAATGTTTATTTTTGAGAGAGAGAGGGAGACAGAGTGCAAGTGTGGGAGGAGGAGAGAGAGGGAGACACAGAATCCGAAGCAGGCTCTGGCTCTGAGCTCTCAGCACAGAGCCCGATGCAGAGCCTGAACCCATGAGCTGTGAGATCCTGACCTGAACTGAAGTCTGACACTTAACCAACTGAGCTGACCCAGGTGCCCCCATGTTTGATTATTTTTTAATATTCATCAGTACTATCTACATGAAAGACTACAATAGAATTATCATAACTTAATTTCTATCAGTCAGGTATTTGAATCTGGATCTATCAGCTTGGAAAATCCTTGCCATTTTTTCCCTTAGAGTTCAAGATTTTTTGGCTGGAGATTATTCTGGGTGGTATTAGAACATGGAGTCCTTTCGTGGTATAGGAAACAGTAAGTATTATGATCCTGATACTTAGTAAATTTATTCTCTAAATTTTGAAAGATTAAAAGTTTTCACTTATCTCTTTAATATTTATTTATATTTCTAATAATTGTAATATTTATTTTGAAGGCCTGATGCAGTCCATAATATTTATCGCCAGGGATGCAAACACTTAACTCAAGCAGTATGCACGGTAGGATGACACATGCATTTTTTGCCGACACCATGAAGTCAGTGTTGCAAGTGTTATTTTTATAAAGCTGCCTTGTCAAATATTGGGGTAGGGGGGACTTGTGTGTATTTTTATTTGAGAACAAGTAAAATTGTGGAATCTCTTTAAAAAAAAAATAATGAACCCTTGTTTATTTCACATATTGTGGGATGAGATAGCAGTGGTCTGAAAACATAAAGAGCCTGTCATGTTTTTTTTGTGTGTATGTGTGTATATTCACACACATATATGCATGTGTGTGTACATGTATATATGTACTTATACATGGGCAAATCGAGATAATGGAAGTTTTTCTGGTGTTAAAATTTAAGCCTGTGTCAAAATTGGGATTCTTAGGTCCTCTGTGTTCACTGTTATACTTTACCAACCAGGAGAAAAAGTGAGTTTCTCCTCTTAGGTATTAGTCTAAGACTGGAGCCTAGACATGCTTTCTTCTTTCCTACTTGAAATCCTTGAGGGTTGTCAATATGTTGTGGCAATCACTTGTCACATTCCCCAGCAGTACAGCCTGATTACACAGCCAGCCCTTAATTGTCCTCACACCCCTTCCTCCCTTCACATTAGACCAGAGGGCCAGGGAACCTCTCTCTAATCTGGTGTGTGTAATCTTTTTGTTTTTTCTTTCAGTGCAATCCTGGCCATTGTCTTCTGTTCCCCCTATAGACTCATCTACTTACTACCAAGCTTTTTCCTTAGTTGAGCCTTTTATCTCACAAATAAGTGCTCCCCCTGCCCTTTTAAAATTTCTTGCTCTTTAACTTCTGTGGAATCCATTAGCTCTTGCTGTGTTGTGCCTCTCCTTGTTGTATAACTTTTGTTTCTTCTGTAAATGTCTGCTTAAAGCTTATCTTTATGAGGCCCATATCAACACAAGCTAATGAGCATTCACTGTGTGACTGCTATAAAGCAGACTGTTTGCTTTGTAGTTTTTTTTCTTAAGTTTATTTGAGAGGGAGGGAGAGAGCAAGTATGCACGCACATGAGCGGGAAAGGGGGAGAGAGAATCCCAAGCAGGCTTCACACTGTCAGCACGGAGCCTGGTGCAGGGCTCGAGCTCAAGAACTGAGGTCATGACCTGAACCAAAATCAAGAGTCAGATGCTTGACCAACTGAGCTACCTAGGCACCCTCCTTTATAGTTTCTTAAGGTAGAAGCTTAGAGTATTGATTTGAGATCTTTTTTCTAATATAAGTGTTTGCAACTATCAGTTTCTTAATTTTTCTTCAGTGTGCAGTTCAGGGCCATTAAATACATCTGTATTATATTGCAGCCATCAGCACCATCTATCTCCAGAACTCTCTTTATCTTCCCATACTAAAACTCTGTACCCATTAATCACTTATTCCTTTCCTTTCTATTCCCAGCCCCTGCCAGCCACCATTCTACTTTCTGTCTCTGAATTTGACCTTGCCAGGTACCTCAGCTAAGTTAAGTAGAATCAGACAATATTTGTCCTTTCGTGACTGGCTTATTTCACTTAGCATAATGTCCTCAAGATTCATTCATGTTACAGTATGTGTCAGAATTTTTTTCCTTTCTGAAAATTTTTAATTATAGTAAAGCACATAAAATTTACTATTTTAACCATTTTTAAGTGTGCATTAGCTTGAACTGTAGTCACTTTGTTGTGCAACAGATCTCTAGAATTTTTTCATCTTGCAAAACTGCAGCTATACCCATTAAGCAACTGCCTATTACGTCTACCCCTAGCCCCTGGCAACCACTCTTGTACTTTTTGTCTCTATGAGTGTGACCACTTTAGATACCTCTAAGTGGAATCTTAGAGTATTTGCCTTATGTCATTTCATCTGATATCCCCAAGATTCATCCATGCTGTAGCATGTGCCCGGAATTTTTTTTGAAGGCTGAATAATGTTACCTTTTATGTATATGCCACATTTCTTTATGCATTTATTCCTCAGTTTACATTTGGATTGCTTTCACCTCTTGGCTTTTGTGAATAATGCTGCAATGAACACGGATATGCAAATATCTCTTCAAGATACTGCTTTCAGTTCTTTTGGATATAGACCTCATAGTGGAATTGTTCAATGATGTGGTAGTTCTATTTTTGATTTTTTGAGGGATTTTCATGCTGTTTTCCAAAGCAGCTGCCCCGTTGTATATTCACACCAGCAGTAATGGCGGGGGGAGGGCTCCAATTTCACTTTTTCCACATCCTCACCAGCACTTATTTTCCTTTTTTTTTTTTTTATTTTTTAATATGGGCCATCCTAATGAGTGTGAGGTGGTATCTAATTGCAGTTTGATTTGCATTTCTCTGATGACTAGTGATGTTGAGCATCTTTTCATGTGCTTAGTGGGCATTGGTTGTTGTCTTTGGAGAAATGTCTAAGTCCTTGGCTCATTTTTTAATTGGGCTGTTTGGTTTTTTGTTGGTGTTGAGTTGTAAGGGTTCTTGGCATATTCTAGGTATTAACCCCTTACCAGTATATGATTGTAGATATTTTCTCCCATTCTATGGATTGCCTTTACACTCTCTTGATAGTGTCCTTTGATGCATAGAAGTTTTTAATTTTGATATAGTCAAATTTATTTTTTTTTCTTTTTGTCACTTGTGCTTGTGGGTATCATGTTCAAGGAATCATTGCCAAGTCCAGTGCCATGAAGCTTTACTCCTATGTTTTCTTAAGAGTTTTATAGTTTTAGCTCTGATGTTTAGGGATAGTTTTCTCCTGAGGCCTTTCCCCTTGATTGCAGCCAGCTGCCTGACAATCCTGCCATGGCTTTTTCTTTGTGTGCAGGTCTCCCTGGTTTCTCTTCCTCTTATTAAGGAATCCAGTCTTACTGAATTAGGGCCCCACTCTTGTGACCTCATTTAATCTTTTTTTTATTAAAAAGAATTTTTTTAACGTTTATTCATTTTTGAGAGACAGAGCATGAGCGGGAAAGGGGCAGAGAGAGGGAAGCAGGCTCCAGGTTCCGAGCTGTCAGAGCAGAGCCCCACATGGGGCTCGAATTCATGAACTGCGAGATCATGACCTGAGCCGAAGTAGGACGCTCAACCAACTGAGCCACTCAGGCGCCCCTGACCTCATTTAATCTTAATTTCCTCTTTAAAGCCCTATCTACAAATATAATCATATTGAGGGTGGGATCTTCATATGAATTTGGGGAGGACACAGTTCAGTCCATGACAATCAGTGTGGTTACTCCAGCTTTCGAATACCATTTGCATGGTAGATCTTTTTCCATCTTTTTATTTTCAGCTTATCTATGTGTTTGAAACTTACTTATAGAGAACATAGAGTTGTATCGGGCATTTTTATCCAATATGACAAACTCTGCCTTGTGATAGGAATGTTTAATGAAGGACAGACACCTGGCTGGCTCAGTTGGTTGAGCGTATGACTTTTTTTTTTTTTTTAGTTACTTATTGAGAGCGGGGGAGAGAGCATGAGTGAGCATGAGTGAGGGAGAGGCAGAGAAAGAGGGAGAGAGAGAGAATCCCAAGCAGGCTCCATACTGCCAGCACAGATCCCGACTCGGGGCTCAATCCCACAACCATGAAATCATGACCTGAGCCAAAACCAAGAGTTCAATGCTTAACCAACTGAGCCACCCAGGCACCCTGAGTGTATGACTCTTGATCTCGGGGTTGTAAGTTCAAGCCCCACATTAGGTGTAGGGATTACTTAATAAAATCTTTAAAAAAAAATGTTTAATTTATACTTAATGTTGTTGACATGGTTGGATTTCTGCTGCCATTTTGTCATTCTTTGTTCTTCCTCTTCTACCTAAGGGAGATGCTTCTCATGTATCATTTCCTTTTGTTTATATTTTACTGTATTTTAAAGTTATTTCTGGAGTGGGAGAGGGAAGATGGCGGCGTAGGAGGACGCTGGGCTTACCGCGCGTCCTGCTGATCACTTAGATTCCACCTACACCTGCCTAAATAACCCAGAAAACCACCAGAGGATTACCAGAACGGAGTCGCCGGAGCCAAGCGCAGACGAGAGGCCCACGGAAGAGG